GCGGATTGGATCTTAACGCGAACGACACCTCGCTTCTAAAGCTTTTTTCGTCGCGCGCGCCGCAATTGTTATACTTTCCTGTCTACAACAACTGCACCATCCTCACTGATGTGCTCCTTTCTATCTAGCGTATTGGAAGTAGGGGTCTGGTTTGGATGACATTACCTCCGCCCACCAGCCATCGCGAAATGTGTGCCATCCCAAAATGTCGGGTGGGCTGAGCCAGCACAGAAGGCATTGCGCGCCCTTACTCTTCTCGTCCTCATGGTTCACGGTCACAGGTGGGGGAGGGAGTGCTGGACCAACTACGTTGTTCCGTGGCCCCGCCCAAGGATAATCGCGAATGCCACTGAATTAGACTCACCCTTGAACAGAGCGCATGAATAGGTCATGGTTTTGTCAAGGAACAGCTCGAACATGTCGTTACCAAGGTCGTAGTGCTCTAGAACAAAAAAAGTAGTTTTTGGGCCCATCCTCTGGATACTACGACCTACCGTACCTTCTATATTCTTGGCACTTTGCGCTACAGTGTTATCTCTGATTCTATGTTGGATATAGTTGATTACGGCTGTCGTTTTACGTACGAAAGTCAGCAACAGTCCGATTACGGTAGCAAAGAAATTTCCCTTGGATGGTTTCGCCGAGGATTTTCGAGCAGCTGCTTGCTCCTCTGAAATATGATGATGATCTTCCTAATGAGCACAAGAGGGAACTGCTGACGAACTCTTTGCTCTGATGAGAAGCTTGAGGAATTCTGTAGGATTTGGTTCCGCTCGCCAATCGCCAGCCATATATGCTTCGCCAAGTCCCATTTTTTCGTCCAAAATCATCAACCAGCAAAAATGAATCGGGTTGTCGATGAACATCGTCACTGCACTTCTGAAATGTAAAGATTTTATTCTAAATATCCCAAAAGAGGACCTCGCCAGGGCGCAGATTTGCTAGAGGAGACCTTTTGCACTTTCGCTGCTTGCCATCGTCCTGTCAAGCCATCACCGAGAGATCTGCGAAAACTTGTCAAGCTATGAGGTGACTGAATTTGTTTTATTGTCCCATCCGCTCAGGATAACGCATTCGCTTGGAAACCGTGAGTAGCGGAAGGGCAAGATGGCCCTCCCGAGCCAGACTGCGCCCTTGCGGGTTCCACAAACTAGGGCACTTCAATAACGGTGATCAACTCACTTTGTCCCTCCTTTTCCGTATTTGGCGCCATGACCAGTAGAAGTTACTTCAATGTACAGAGCCTCACTGGTTTTGTCAACAATGCTCTTTAGAAACCTGAAAGTAGCTACGGTTACAAAAGAGACTAAGACTTCGTGTAAAACGCTCTCTTTTTGAACATGTGTGGTGTTGAGCTGAGGGGGAGGGATCGGGTCAGTGTAGAGATTCTAATTCAATTCAACTCTCGCGCTCCGCTCTGCTCTCTCTCTCTCGTGTTTAAGTTACAGATTTTCTACTGGAAACACTGCAGGTAGGGACAAGCAGACAGATGTCAGAGGGGTCATATCCGAGGAGGAGATGGACTATATATGTCAGTAAAATTCGTACAGGTCCTTGATCTAATCCATTCAGGTTGGAAGTCCAGAAGAGAATTTTATTGGGCTCACGGACTTCCTGTAGCTGGAGGAAACTTTTGCAAAAGACGACACCCCCACCTCCCTCGAATGTTGTACTCTCGTACAACACACCCTTCTCCATCCTGTAGAGCTAGATGAGACCCGTTCCGAAAACGAAGAGCAAATAGGGCATTCCTCCCTTAGACTACCAGATACGACTCCATGTTGGGGATCCCCAGCGTACGATGAGCCCTTATTGAGCCCTGTACCTACACTGTGATCGAACTCTACAAGAGATCCGGAAAGGCGATGGTGGGTTTCCGCAGCGACTACCTTACTACGGTAGCGGCTCATCATCCACTTATAGGCATAAGTTGGGAACGAGAGGATATTATATCAGCGCTTCGTTTTCGGTTTAATCTTTAACTTCGTTTTGAGATCCAAAAGCTGACCTAAAGAGTTCGTCAGAACCTGCACAAGTGCTTATTTCCAAGTGCGTTGGCGCATTCCAAAGAAAGCGGTTAACTCCGAATTACTCAGAGTTTATGCCAATTTGGGTATGTACTCACCTGTTGATGAACGGGAAGAAGATGTGCGTGACGAGCAAATTATAGAGAAATCCTTGCTTCCTTATTGCACCCGAAGTCATCCTGAAAAGTGTGAGTATCAGGCCAGAAAAAAATATGTGAAATAAGAACATTTGAAAAATGACCGGTGAAATTGGTAAAAATAATAGGGCACGTGGAGAAACAAGGAAGGCTAACAGTGCAGAGAGGAATAGTGAGCTTATTGAAAGAAGAAAAAAGCTTGTCCAAGCGTTTTTCTTCTTTCAATGATTTTCTCCAGTTCTGGCAGAGTCCTGGCAAGTTTCTTCACCCGAGACCTTTTTCTCAGTTAAACAAGTGAGCAGATACGGTGGCAGCGAAACGACCAAATGAATTAGCGGGGCTGATTGGCCTCGCTTTTGTTCGGTTTATCGCTAGCGCTAACGCCGCATTCAGCGCATTTTGCAACGGTTCATTGTGTGCGATGATGTTAAGCTGATAACTTATCAGTCATGCTTAGACTTGACGTAAATCGCGCATGAGCGTGGTGCACGTGAGTCAATCACAAGTTAATTTGGGGGTCACGTAGCCTAAATGGACAAAGATCAGATTAGTTTCGAACCCGGGCCTGTCCACGAGGTATCATGGGCGGGGCATGCCATCGCGTTGTGATCATTTCCTGGGAAATACGACCCTCCTACCACTTTTTCCATTTTTTCCCGAAAAATTTCCACTCCTACTGATGGCCTTCGTGCTATTGGGGTAGAAGATCGCAGATCCATATTCAACAATAGGACGGATATATGCCTTTGTACGCCCTAATGAGTATGCAAGGGTCCCTGTATGCAAGCTTCTTATGTTAGAAGCTGGAATAGCCTCTTCTCTGCATCATCTTCCACCGCCAAGGCTTTATAGATTTTGATGTCATCGGCAAAAACCGTACAGCTCTCATTGTTTCGACTATTCGAGGTAGCTCGAACGTATAAATGCAGAAACAACAATGGTGAAAGGACGCCACCCTGCGGAACCCCGCTAGGAGCCAACCTTGTACTAGAAAATGTTTCATTAATGCGCACTTGAAATGATCTTTGCTCAGGAAGGAAGCGATCCACGACACAATTCTTTGATGGACACCAACATGTCTCAGTTCATCAAAGGTTTTATCTGATTGATCTTGTCAAACGCCTTACAAAAATTAAAGTAAACAACGTCAACCTCTTTTTTTATTAGGTTGGCGGGAAAGTTCTGTCACACTTTTTTCGAAATCAAAATACTTGCCCATTACCTGAAGAGGGGTAACCGATAATGTGAGCACCACTCGCTTGACTCCTGCTTCTTCTTCTTCTGCAATATGGACAAGGATTTTATCCGCTACCATCGGCACTGACCCCTCCAAGCGCTTCCTCAAACTCTTTCTTCCACCATCCTGACGCCAGCATGATAGCTGCAGATGCCAAAATAATGGATCTGAATAAGGACGATGCCCTCAGTTCTTGGACAACGTTTCACGACGCTAACGCATAAGCCTTCAAATCGGTGAGCTACGCAGTGTGAGTTTGGTTACGTGAGCCTCAGAATGAGATGAGCTGGGGTCGTGAACACTGGCGGGTAAAGAAGCTGTCCTCGCTCAATCGTAGTGCCAAAACAACTAGAGATGCTGATGCAAACGTCGATCAGGGGGAAAAAATTCGTCCGTAACAGTCCTGTCTGTCAACGTGACAGTGCGGTGTACAGTGCCGTCTTCAACGTGACATCGCAACTTGACAACCGTCAAAATAAATTCGGGGCGTAACGTCACACATTAGTAGCTGGGATTGCCTGCCTTTGCCACTGGCGCCAGGCCCAGACATTGCTTCCTTCTAACCTCGCCGTACTCGCGCACTTTATAGAAAAAGCCTCCAGAACCTCGAGCCCACATTCAAAATTGAGATGTTGTCAAGCTTTGGCGTATCGGCGCTGGCCGCTCATTGTGAGGCGAATGGCATCCATGAGGTGCGCTCAAAACTGGAAAGAACCCCGCAGTAACATTGCTGTATAATTTTGATCTTACACGCCTCTCTATAAAAAGAAAGCGTAATTTGAAAAAATGTGACAGAACTTTCCCGCCAACCTAATATTCGTCTTTAGCCGCGGTCCAATCGTTTAAGGATTCCATTTGAGTCACAGTTAGACCTCCCACTCCTAAACCCATGCTGACTGTCCGAAAGAATCTTATTCTCTTCCAAATGAGCTGTAATTACCCTTTTAATAACCTTTTTGAAAACCCTGCAAAAAATGGAAGTAATGCTGACTGGTCTATAATTACTGGAGATACATTGAGGAGGTTTCTTTTGGAATAGGTGTGATATAGGAGTGCTTCCACCTGTCAGGAACCTCCGCTCGAAAGAGACTTAAATTGAAGACGTACTGTAACGGGCCCACAGTTGATGGAAGAACTCTGAAGCAAAGTGGGATACCACTGGGAGCGGAGCTACAGTTCCACTTTAAAAAGAGTTCAGATATTTCTTGCGCGCTAAACCATAAAGAATCCTGCATTTGAGGGGAAACAACAGTCCACTCAACATTACTTTCCACGTTGACATTCACTTTTACAAAAACATTTTCAAACATTTCCGTGAAATGTTCCGCCTTAGCTTCATCATAAACGCAGCAGATCCATCAGGCTTCACCAAAACAGGCAACCGCTCTTTCAATTTTGTCTCAGAATTAGTGTATTTGAAAAGAGCGAAATTGCTTCCATTTTCAGTGATTTTTCTCCATAAGACAACTGAACTGATACATCTCTTTCTCGAATTTTCCGGCTACGACCTTATAAGATTGCCAGTCACTGGATGTATTTGAAGAAACAGCCTTCCTATATGACTCTACCTTCTTGAAGAGAAGCGAATGAAGATATGGCGAGATACTCTTTCTAA